CTCCCCCCGCCCCGCCCCATTTGATGCACGGGGCGGGGCGGGGACGGGGCAACTTTTTGCTAAATTTTTTTTATTTTTTTTTACATTTTGAAAGTTTCGAATTATGTTATTATTAGAGAATAAAATATAAATTTAAAATGAGTTTTTAACGGATGAATTGTCTAAAAATAAATTTATTTTTAATTTTTAAATTTTAAAATTTTTTTTTTTACTTTTTCTTCACGGGGTGGAGCATCCTTGCCCCGCCACGCCTAGCCCCGCGCCCTGCGACGGGGTGCCACTCCTTCCCTTGGCAAGGCAAGGCGGGGTAAATTGTCATCTCTAAAACAAGAGTTTACTCTACACTGGTGTCCACAAAGAGTTTAATTCCATATTTCATACTGCGACTATCAGCAAGACTGGAACTATTTCACTCATATCCTTTGCACCACTAAATTATGCCCCGGGGGACAAAGTAACACTCGAGCAAATGAATAGTCCCTAGCCTTTCGTGTTCTATTGATGTTCTAGTTCTGCAAAACTATGTGGCCATGTAAATTGGTGTTCCTTCGAGTCAACACTTCGGATTATAAGTTATACACAAAAAATAAAATAAAATAAAATATATACATATATATATATATTCCATAATTCTATTTATTAGAATCGAACCCCCAACTGGAAGTGAAAGCTAACCATTAAAACTAAGGACCCATATTGAGCCCGAAAGACAAAAATTAGGAATTAAGTAGCTGACCTAACAAACAACCTAACACATGGCTTCATTATTACTTTAAGGCTTAACATGGAATACTTTCCAAGAAGTTGATAGCCCTTTAGGCCTTTACTATGGCAACACCCACATATTCTTCCACAGAAACTCTTCCCGAAAACATTTTGTAGCCGTGATATTGAACAATTTTAAAAATTATTCTATTTTCTTAGTGGATGATTCACTCCAAGATTCAAGATAGAAGAATCCCTGATTTGTAATAGGGAGATTTTTTATTTATTTATTTATTAATTTATTATTATTATTATTTTTATTTTTTTTGGCATGCTCTCATTGCATCGCCAAATAGGTCACAATGGTTATATTCCCTAACAAGTTTTTGAAGAGAAATGAACAGTATTAAAGAGAAAAACCTTAAAATCTTGGTCATTGTCATGTCCAATTCTACTCAATTCTATCTAAAAAAAAACATGAATACACTAAAATTAAGGAATAAGAAAACTAAAATATTCTCTATTATTGTATTAATATGTCTTGTGTTGTTTAATAATGTATTTGAACCATCATGATTAATTATATAACTGCAGTCTAATCATATAAAAGTCATTTGCAAAAAGAACATTCGAAGACAAGAGACGGCCAAGGGCAGCTCGTCATCACTCTCTACTTTGTGCTCCAGGGAAAGTACACCCAATGTTGGAATTTACGTGTTATTTAATAATAAATGTGTAAATTGAAATAAGTCTCCAACAAGTAGGTTATTTGGGTGAGAAAGATTGCAATTCAGATTATCAAATCGTGTCTCTATCTAAGATGTTGCAATCTTATGGTCAAAATGGATTACACCAAAAGATGCACCCATTCGTCTATAATTAAACACATTCAATTCCATTCGTTCTCTCTCCAAATTTCGTCAAAATAGTTTTGAAATTATTTTCAAGTTTTAAGTGTTCGATATCATCCCGATTAAGAATACGGTCAAGCTTTAGTTCACCCTACAAAATTAATATTTTGCTATATGAATTTTGGATATCTTAGAAGATAGACGTCTATTAGTTTTATTAACACAAATTCAAGTGGCTAAATTTGTAAGTATATGCTTCACTTCATCCTATATCCTTCGAATTTCTTGTTTTCTACTTGAAGTAACTCGTTACTTACAAAACTGTTGTAGCTAAAACTTTATTCAATATTTTGCATACAGTTATCTTGGTTTGGTAGGTTAAAACTTTATTCAATATTTTGCACGGTAATAAAACATAAATGATGCACCAAAACATTGATGGATACCATTCACATCCCCATCTACAATTCACGCTCTTCCCATGTGCACCTCTTCACAAAACTATACAATCAGCTTTTAACATCGTTTTCGTAATTCACCATGGTATCTGATGCCACCAAAAATCTCGAAATAAGCAAAAGATTTGATACACGTGAGAACCATTATCAAATTCTTATCAAAGACAGCATTTTTATTAGACGGCCAAATACTTAGAGCTTTTTTCTGCGTACATTAACATTACCTGAAATGAAGAAACTAAATTAGATTTACAAAATAAGATTCGTAAAAATGGAAAATTAGGTTCAAGAATGCCAGAACCCACTCCAAATGCTACGAAATCTATTGGATGATAACTTCCTGACAATTTTTTTTGCATCTGAAACTTCAGCATCTGCAAGCTTTTCAATGTTCTTTAAATACCCAGAATCTAAAATCTTTTTTCTTGCACTGTTGCTGCTTGTCAATGACATCAGTATAGAAAGCAATAGCCTTTTGTTATTACCTGAATTTGCCTCCCCTGCACCTTCAGGATCAAGCTTCTGCAGAATTAAGCCCACATTCTGATCATTCTGCACGAAACTCTTACGATTTCTGGGTATTCTAACCATGCTAGATAGTATTTCGGCGGCCATTTCTCGAATCTCAAATGATTTCGAGTTGATAAATTTAACCAGCACCGGCATGAACCCTGCGTTGCCCATTAACTTCTTCGTCTCCTCGGATGTGCCACATAGCCAAAATGCTGCCTTTAAGGCCAGCTCTTGAGCTGAAGCCTCTCCGTAACTAAGAAAATAAAGTATATGATTCATGAAGCCAGAAGCAATCAAAATATTTAGAGAATTCTCTGATGAACAGCATATGTTCATGATTACTAGTAATGACACCTCTCTTAACTTCATCGAAAATGATGATTTTGGATCCAAAATATGCACCATTTTGCTTATTCCACCTTCTTTAACAACCATTAAGCTAACAGTTTCATCCTTATAAGCCATAGCTTGTAAAAAATCAAGGGAACATATTCGTTTAATCTCGTCTTTAGACCTCGCAAGGTTAAGAATTAATGGAATTGCTCCTTCCTCGACCATAAACCTCTTGATTTCTTCGACGCCAACAAGATTTTTCAGTACTCCACAAGCGAGGCCAACCAATTCACCACCATTATCTCCATTACCACATATTTTCAAAAGGGCAGTCACTCCACCGTGAGCCGAAACTGACCACGCATTGTTCGAATTCTCTGTGAACCTCATCAAACACCTTGCAGCGAATTCTTTGCTCGAACCACCCCCGGACTCCAACACACTGATCAATAGAGAAATTATCCCTACACTGATCAATACACCTTTACAGGATTCAAAACCCGATATCACACACACTGCTTTCACGGCCTGTTCTTGAACCTCCCCCTCTTCAAAATCAAGAAACTGCACCAAGAAACTGATAAAACCATCAACTTCCACAGAAATCTTCACATATCTACCATCTTCTTCAATAACATCATTGAAGGCAACCAGGGCTTGTTTCTTCATGTCCCTACCGCCAATCTTGAGCCTTGACAACAAATCATTGATATAGAATCTTACATCGTCTCGAGAAGAAGAAAGACCAGGCTTTGGTACCACTAATGCATTTCTATGAGTGAGCAGCCCACGAGTGTATACATCAGAAAGTGTCTTTATATGATTATCCAATTTTGTGCATACTATATCAAGGTCACTTTTCATCAGCAGCTTCCCAGTATAAGATAAATCCACGCACCGCTGCGCAAGCTCATTGCAGTTCTTTAGTGTGGCCAGAACTGCCTCTACAGTATCTAAGATTGATTCATTATCATTAAAGTTAGAATTCTGATCAATGGCAGTGAAGTTGGAGAGAATTTCTTCAAGCTTGTTTCTTATGGATTGCCATTTGACCGGAAAAACCTTAACTGAATGCGAGTGAGAAATCAATGGAGAGATGAACTCAATAGCTTGCTGCAGCCTTGGTATTCCGATGGATGATTGCACTGACTTTTGACCCTGTTCTTCACCCATGAGGAACTTTAGGACAGCAATTAGGTGACGAGTTGAACATTAATGTTTGGAATAAAACCCATATTTCTGGGGGATACAGGTTTCCGGCAATATGGTAGGAAGAATATTCAGGCGAAAAAGCACAGGGTTTTTAACTGGAAAACAGACAAGAAACATTCATGATCTTATCAAGAAGCTAAAGACCAGGTCTATGTCATCTTATCTTCAGCGTAGGTAACAGAATTACATTTTTAAAATTACTGAAGGGCCCTCGTTGTCATGTGATAGTTAAAGGTCAGTGGAGTAGATGTGAAGGTTAATTTGCCATTTCACTACAGAATGGCAGCTTGGTCAGTTGGGACGTTAGGACATATTTGAGGATGGAGAAGAATATGGACAACTACTTTGACAATGTAAGAATCCAAACGTGGTATCAGCGTTTTAGGTTCTAATCATGAAATAATTGTGCATAAATTATTTGCTCAAAAATAATATAAATTAGATTTTCAATTGTTTAATTACTTGAAAATGTATTAGATATTAATATACATATTTTTTCCAACTATCATGTAATAGTAGAAGCTTTACTAATAAATACAAATCATACTAAAGTTCATATAAAATTCAAGTCTGGTAATTTTGAAATACTATTTTATTGTAGTAACGAGAGGTTGATGTTTACCGGATCGAATCACCCGAAACCTGCTGGAGGTGGCAATTTTTATCCAAAAATGAACTTCTCGAATGGAATCGTGAATTCAAGCTCAATTCCAAAAATTACATATAATTGAATGATTACGTTTAAAAAATAAATGAAGTTTATGTTTGGCTTCGATTCTTGAAATGTCCAGATTGAACCATCGGAGTCCATCCCTAATTGTAGCATTGAAATTTAAGTATATTCATAATAAGACAAAGATTTCTCAAATAAGATAATCATTTTGTAATATAAACATTTTAAATTATTGACGTCATTCTTAAATTTGACTTTTTAGGCATTCCCGTGACAAGTTCATTCAATAGCATTACTAAAAATTAGCTGAGCAAGACACAAGGCTGTGAAATTAAGAAGGAGAAAGAAAAACTAAGGTTGCTTAGTTAGTTAAAGTGGCCAGTCCTTATAAAGTTAGGTGAAAAGGAAAAAGAAAAGTAGGGTTAGCCATCAATATCTCTTGCCCTTGGCATATAAATGCCAAGACATCCACACCCCACTGACCATGTGAACCACCCCTATGTTTTGTTGGATGCCTTAAAGCTTTAGGGTAGACCTAAGAAGCATGTTTGGCTTAGCTTAAAAGTGATTTCTATTGTAGTAATTTTTGCAATATCAAGCTTGATATTATCAAGAAAAAATTGCTTCTTTGTTAGAAAGGAGAGACGATGATTTTTTTTTATTTTTTTTTTTCATTGTTTGAAAGCTCAAAACATGTAGAAAATACTTCTTAAGTAATTTTATTTCGTCGTGTTTGGACAATTAATTGTTTTGTTACTTTTATATGAACAGCGTATGCAAAATAACACTTGAATTAAGCTACTTGTACATTTTATTTGTACATCTTGATTGACATTTCATGATGTATAAAAATCAAGATCATTGGCTTTTTAAGTGTTGTTCAAATCAATGGCAAAATTGTGTGCCACATCATGGCATGTCAACAAAATTATCACCAAAATGTAAGTGTAGCAAAATTGATAACACTTATTCTAAATTTAAAATAAGCTCATGTTTGGTGACCTCTTTTTGGAAAAACATTATTTTAAATAGTGACTTTTTAGAGAATGCGTGATTAAAAATTAGGAAAATTTTTGTATTTATATGTAGGATAGTTTATTATGTAAATGCGTGGTTGATAATGAATGCGTAGAAAATAAATTAAAAAATGGAAAACAAACGGGACTAATTAAAACAAAGATGATTAAGAGTTTTGTCTAGTCTTAGTACAAGACAAAATTGCTAATTATACTCCTAGTCACGGATCCTTAATTTGGTGGACTCAATTGTTCTAAATAATCTTTTAAAAAACGTTAAAATATTATTTTGTTTTGTTATAATATTGTTGAGTAACTTGTACAAGTTATAACTTGAACCGTCTCAATCATCCCTAACAAATGCTACCGCTTAATTTCACGTGTAATCTTATCAAAGAATCTAAGTGGGGCGGTGGCCTTTACTTCTTTTTCTCGTCTTTCCTATTAAATTTTGAATCCTGCGCTCTCACTCTTTTTTATCTATTTGTAAATTAAAGTATTCATAAATAATTCCTAAATGGAGGCTAGAAACCGGCTCTACCTACTATAAAAAAGATTTTGCTACTTGTACATAAAAAATGTACATAATAAGTTACCTAATATATATATATATATATAAACTCGAAAATCAAAGTAGTAAAATATATAGGGACTAAAAGATAAAAAAGTTTGTCCTATAATTGTTCATTCAATCGCATGCCACATGCCCTTAAAAGGGACTACCTAAGAGGTGTTTCTTTATCTCATGCTTGTCCAAAATTAGGTAAAATGCCATTGTATGAAATTAAAGTTGTTATATTGAACACCTTTGAGTGAAGAGAAAGTGAAAATCCAAAAATGAACCGTAGGTACCAAATACCTTAGATTTGAAGGGAAATTGTACATGTAACAATATATCATGTGCTTCCTCATCAGTCTCATCTAATAATTGATTCTATAATTAGTAATTTTTTACCTACTTTCGAATCTCTAAAAGCATTTTGAAATGCATTTTATGAATTGTTATCTCAATGACACAATATTTGAAATATTTCAGCTTTTATAACATTAATATCTAATAAATAGACTCTCCAATGTATCTATTGATTGCTATCTAGGTAAACTTTATTTTCTTAAAAAAAAAAAAAATCACAACTAAATCCGAAAAGAAAATATTGATTCTGCAAGACCCTTCGTCTAATAGAACTATTAAAAATATATACAACTATGAACATATAACCTTTGTTTGAGACCCATTTTCGGGCAAAATGAGTTTTGTAATTATGATTTATTTGGAAAATATGTAATTAAAAGTAGCAAAAATTGTATGAATTCATGTGTAAAATTATTTTATTGAGAAAATGTATAGCTAAAATGGAATTTCTAAAGAATTAAGCTCAAACACGGGCTTTGTATTTTTTCTGTCATGTCAGCTTGATCAATTGTAATAGTGATGCATCAAAATTGAAGTGCCGTTTTTGCATTAAATTGGAGAAATTGGGATGCATGTTTAATGTACAATTTTGTGTAGAATAAGACAATATAATAAATAAAATTTTTACTTTTGTAGGACAAACATTTCCTATTTTCCTTCATGCCTACAATTACCATCATCCATTATTTTCAGAGTGTATCTTGCCAACATACTTTGAACAATGAATCTTGAAAACGCCTCTGACAGAATCCACTGGTTCAGTCTAATTAGAATACAACAGGGAGGGAAAATTATAGCAATTTACACGTTAAACAATCCAGTGGAAAGATTCACAATGTCTTCTCATATCAAATCCACTGATTTTTCACGGTTCATAAAGAAGTTTGTGCGCTCAAAACACTTAAAGATTATACATAAAATTTGGAATTCGAGTTCCAGGATACTTCACTCGTCTCGTTCGCGATTCAAACAATGCAAGGAGTAAATTTCTCGTGCATTTTATTGTAATATCTTGGCTCTTCAGGGACGAAAGTCTAAGAGAAGTCTATGCTAACCTGCACCATTTTTTTCTTCCATGCGATAATGGCGTTCAGTTGCACGATCTGAATCCGAACAAAACAGCTCAAGGGGTTTTCCACTGCAAATGCTAGCAATACATATGATCAGAAATCATGGCAGTAATGGAAGATTATTTAGGCATATAACTTAGCCACCAAGTTAGTATTTTTTCCCCTCGAAGGGGTTTAGGGGTTGAAGCATTTGGAATGTGGTAAATCAACAGTCCTAAACGGGGGTCGACTCCTTTGCAGAAAAGGAGATCGAGTATTTAGTAAAAGAAAACCATTTATGCTACAAAGAACTCAGAAACTTAGCCCTTGTTTGAGCCACATTATTTTCATAAAAATGCATTTTTGAATAGTGTAATGATGATAAATGTGTGATTAAAAATTAAGAAAAAGTTTTGGATTCGCGTGTAACATTATCAAATCACTGTTTACGAATGTATTTTTTCCAAATAATGTGGATCAAACGGGGCCTTAATCTACTTTTCAAAGAATTTGTAATATTTCAGAGCTTGCTTACCAAGAAGTCCTTCCACGTGATCAAAGAGTGACAACGAAAGGTGGAGCATCCCTTCTCGACCCTGCTACAGTACGATATATATAAACTTTGTCCGCCTGACTTTCATCACTTCCTTCATCTCTCATTACCTCAACATTCAACCTCGGCATCTCCTTTGCAAGTAGCTTGCACGCACTCATTGTTACATTGCAGGCTGACATCCACAATGATCGCATTGTTTCATACTTCTCTATCCCGGACAGTAATGCAGCATTTCCAAATGGACAATCTCTTATTTCAAGCTTCCTTAGCTTCGGACAACCTTGGAGAACACACTGCATCCCCCGATCACTGCTGCCAGCAAAAGCCACGGAAAGAGCCTCGAGGTTTTTGGCATACTTGCCAATATACTCAAAAGTCAAGTCGGTTAAAAGGCCCGAAAGTGCAAGCCTCCGGAGGTTAGTGCATGTCTTAACCACTGCACCAAAAGCCTCGTCCATAGGTTCATTTGTCAGGTAATCTCGCTCGCCTGGATTCATTATGCAAAGGCGAAAGTGAGTGAAATCGGGGCAGTTTTGCACTATGGTGGCAACAGCTGCATTAGTCATCTGCCGGCAAAAGTAAAGGACATAATGGAGTTTGCGGCATCCACGAGACACTGCCAAAAAACCAGCCTCAGTTACTCCATGGTGAAGATCCTGCTCGAAAGGATCAGCAGGGAAGACCCGAAGTTCTTCAAGGAATGGACAGCTGGATCCCACGGCCTCGAGGCCCTTGTCTCCGACCGTATCAAGGACCTGCATGAAAGTATTAGACTATTAGTCAATTTAGATATCAAACTTCATAAATAAATAAATGACCCACTTATGAGCGGGATAAAAACCGGAGTTTGATACCAAAATTTGCCCATAGAAAGAATCTCAAATGCCTGGTTCTTACCCAAAGACGTCGTATATTTGGGCTATGAGCAACTATCTTCGCTAATTCACCACTTCGGAGAGTCGCATAGCTCAAGTTCAAGAAAGTCAGACTAGGACAAGCTGAATAAAGAACAGGGAGATGGAGAGAAGTGTCTTCCCAAAAACCTGAGAGAGTCTGAAGATTTTTACAATTGCTGAATGCAATTCCGAGACCTTCATACTGGAGAGGTGTAAGTTCTTGCTGGAAAGAACCAGTACCAAGTTCAATCAACTGAGGAGCCAGCACAAGAAGCTGTTGCAGTTGGTCCAAGGTAATGCTCTTATTGACCTTCAGAATCCTTAACGATTTGCATCGACGAACAAGTTTCTCGAGAGCATCAAAACTAACCTCACTGTTAAGGCTGGCAAAGTTCAGTACTTCCAATGAAGAACAATTCTCAGAAAAACAACTTAGCCAACCTCCACCTAAGTCATCCATTCCATTTTCTTGTATGTCAAGTTCAGTCAAGTTCCTATAAGACAAAAAAACATAGTAAGTGCATGTTTTGTACATAGCTCTGAACAAGATTTATACAATAGAATGAACACGAACTTCAGTTTTTTCCTTATTATCGTTCAAAACTATCCAATCCTCCCCACTAAACATATTATAAATGCTATCATTAATAACATTTAAAATCAGAGACAATAACAAGAGATACAGCACAACAACGAAGAATCTAAGCCTTGATTAAAAATAGAACACATATTCAGTACTGGAGTCATGATAAAGCTTGAGGAGGGGAGGGGTATATTGATTTAATGAATTTAAGATTGCAACTGTCTCTATGCTTATCTTCTACCGTAATTCAAGTTTTGTCTCTTTTCTATTGGCTTTCCAGCTGATGAAACAGTCCAAATGTGTATCTCCTATGTAGAGTTCTTCTTCAAGCTTCCTAATTGTCGCGTCAGTTCTTTTTTTCTTGAAGAACATATTTCAATAACAAGTATTAGCTATTTATGACTACAGTTCTAGCACAACCAGAAGTTCTCCATGTTATTATTATATACTTCGTACAAGTTTCCTTGAACTTCCAAAGTATCCTTATCTTCTACACATCTTTGTTGCATCATTTCCACTTTCAATCGAAGAAATAGTATCATTAGACTTAAGAATTCACATTTGTTCCCTCTGATCTTCTATCTCTGCCTTGTCTTGATGAAAAGATCAATGACAATTCAGGGAAATCAATTAAAAGGTAGAGGATCAAGTGTCGAGATTGCATATCATAAAATATAGAGTCGAGTGACAGGATTGCAATCAAGTAAATCCATTGCTAAACCGTGTGGCATTCAGGCATACCCATATTCTATGCATTTCAATGAGAACATTTACACCAGATAATGCATTTCACAGGTCAAAATTTGGAAACAGGATATAGAATTTGGCCTCATAGTCTCATCAATCAAAGCATCACTAGGTTCAAAGCGAACCCTTCCTTCTCTAGGCCAATTGATATTGAACTAAAACATCTTTGACTTCAAAGAGAACCTTTCCAGCTGGCTGAGAAACAAGACAACTTTTCCCATAAATGAAGACTATATCAAGCTCTCAAAGAGAACCTTTCCTTCTCTATATCAATTGACATTGTAGTAAAGCATCTTTAAATTCAAAGCGAGCCCTTAAATATCTAGATCTGTTAACATCAAAAACTCTGCAGGCCAAAAAACAAACAAGATAACTTTTACAACAATTTGAACACTATCTCGAGCTCTCAAAGAGAACCCTTCATCTCTAAGCCAGTTGACATTTAACCAAATGAACAGTTCATTTCATACTCTAAGCAAATAGAGCGCCCTCTTGACCAATGAAAAGGGAGATATATGGGCAAATTGTGACAAAAAAAACCTCGTTAAAAAAAAAACCCAAAAAAAAAAAAAAAAACTTTTTGGGCAAAAAAAAAAAAAAAAAAAAAAAAAAACCAATTTTCTTTTAGAAAAACGGGAAATTAAAAATTAATCAAAAACAAAAAATTCAATCATCATCAAAAATTAATTTAACTCAAACAAGGAAGATGGGTTGCTTACTTGCAGTGTGTAGCAATGGCTTTGAGTCCATCAGTGCTAAATCCCTCACAACTCAACAAAGATAAAGCCTTGAATCCCGGAAACGAGGTTGCCAGGAACTTCAAGCTCTCATCATTTAAAGTCATTCTCTTGAGCCTCAGCTCCTCCAAAAACGGGTAAACTTTCGCAAACACTACAAGCCAAGAATGCACATCAGCCCCCCAATGCTGAGGGACCAAATTGAAATCAGAAAATCTTGGCTTTCCTTTGAGCGTAACACTCTTAATTCTGGGAAATCTTCTTGCCACAATCTCAGGAGAAACTGAATAGCAGTTGCCTATAAAAAGTTTTGTTCTTGTCCACCGCTCAGCATCGTACCAGTCCTTGCAGACAAGTGAAACCGAACTCCTGTCCTTGTGGGAGTGCAGGAACGAGAGGACCCTTTCCAGGACTTCATCTGGGAAAGGGAATAATGAGTGGGTTGAATCGGGTGAGTTGGCTGAGTTTGATGATGAGTTTTTGGTTTTCTGGAGTTTTGGATCCATTTTGCAATAGACAACTGCATTTCAACGATGGAAAATTAATAAGAATCAGAACCTTTTTCATTAATTCAAATGGTTATTTATACCCAGACTAAAATCTTGACCCTTCTCCGTCAAAAGAAAAAAATTCAGTGAAGAAGACAAATCCAGGGCACAAGATTGTTGACAGTGTTCAATAATTAATGCCAAATAAAAAAAAAAGTTCCTATTAGCCCAGAAATTTGAACCAATCAAATTGCCAAAAAATAATCTTCCCGAGGGAAGTTGATGATTCAGAAACAAGACTCGATGAATTTCTGATTTAAGTTACGGATGATGTAACCATGTTTTAAGTTTAGATTCTCTATCTTCAAAATTTCACAACATTCACACACAAACTCACTCTGAAATTCAACAAAACAGTGATACTCCAATAAATATACACCTATATAGCTAAAAATGAATAGAAGATTGAATTAGAGAATGTGTGAAAAACAGAAAGAAAAAGGGAAAAAGGAAATATTTGAGAGCTTTTACCTGTGTGCTGAATGAATGCTTGAAGGTCCCGAAGAGCCAAAGAACTCCTCAACCAAACCACTTGCATATATATTATAGCAGGATTAAACCAAAAAGTAATGCTATAAATTATATATATATATATAAAATAAAGTATACGTGTATACCGTATACATACGTAAAGCTTTTAATTATTAGGCAGTACTGAAGCTGACTGACATGACACCTGGCGGGATACCACCTAACTTCCACTGTGGGGTGATTTGCGCACGTCCTTTCCTTTTCTGCCACGTGTTATTGTCCACCATGGTGCGGAGTTCACGATCGGCGTATTTTAGAAGAATTACTTTTTTTAGTTTTTTCCTATGTTTTTAGTTTTTTTTACCGTTATGAATGAAGGAGGATCATCACAGTCGTCATTTAACATGTATTTTTGGAGAAAGTTTCTAAAGTGTAATTATACTAATTAAGATGTTTATTTGGTGCACTATATTTAATTGTAATAGAGGTCCTTAAACTTTCTTAATTATTATCAATATGTTTCTAATTTTTTTTGTCACATTTTTATCTTCAATCTTCAATCTTCAATCTTCAATTAATCAATCACCATATTTAAATTTTTTGTTCTACATCCTCTGTCAATATCTTTAATTTGATTTGGAAGGTTTTTAATTTAAAACATACTTCTACAAAATAATATTGTAGAATTACCTATGTTCGGCTCAATTTAATAAAAACCCGCTTTACTTTTTATCTATACATTTTGAGAACTCACAAGTATTAATATTATATCTATCATTTATTTCTATCAATTTATATTTTAAATAATTATCGATTTTCTCACTAGTCTTATTAATAGAGAAGAAAAAATTTAAACCTTTTTGAGAACTAATTGAAACCATAACTTTTTCCCACCACAAAAGGAATCTTGCTCCATTCCTTCAATAAAGCAAGTGTCCCCATCCTTAATAAAGCCAATCTCTCTTTGGAAATATTAAAAAGTATTTTTCAATAAATAAAAATGGTTGGTCAACATCTCACTATTATTTTCATGATAACAATTAGACAGTTTCTGCTTTAAACAATAATATAAGAGAATATTTCATAATTTTAGACAACACAATTACTAATGATTTTATCTCTTATGTTCTTGTAATAATGTTTGTTGAACATTTTAAATCATCAATAATCTGTGTTGTACTTATAATGAATTATCGCATTATTCTAGAAATATACTTATAAAAGCCCGATATAAGATGTAATAGTCTGAAATTACTGTCATGCCAATAATTTGTGTAGAGAAACTTGTGTATGTTAAAGCTAAGTCATTGGATCGAGTACAGATGCATCTAGTATTTGGTTTTTAGGTGTCGGGTCACGAGATATACACGAGAAATATATTTCGTCCGTGTCTATTTTTTCCGATATAATCTCAATCCAAAGTTTAAACACGTCAAATTAAGTCGAGCCAATTATGAATCACGTGAGATAAACATGTGCCCCCACTTTGATGGCATTTCCAGCCATTTACAAGGAAGAAGAATAAATTCACACAAACACAACCGATGATCTCGAATCTCCATGTTAACAAGAAAAATACTATTAACAATGTACTAAGCATTAAAATCATACAATTAAAATCCAGTTGGGTTTTGCCGGACACGTGTTACTAAATTGTTAATTACTTAAGGTGCACTTTCTTTTGGTACAACTGAAGATGCACTAACAATAATACACAGGACACGCCTGTTGAAATGGAGGCACGTGAGATTCTCACGTGACTCTTTATCATTTCTTTTTACAAATATTTTATTTGATTTAATTGGCAGTCTTCAACTAGCTAGGAAGAATATCCTCTATTCATTTCTTTTTGGGGGAGCTTTCGGGAGTTTAATTATCAGCTGACTTTGGGTTTAAAGTTTTTATTAGGGAAATCCATTTGGAGAAGTGATGTTACAACACGATGTTTTTGTAATTTTACTATATAAGTTAGTAAGTTACAAAAAGAAAAAGAATTAAAAAAAAAAAAAAAGTACTCTACTATTGGGAAATATTTGAACACTACCAAAATTGATTAGTTCAATACTTTAGTTCCGACGAACTATTCTTTTCTAGCATTTTTTAGCAGTGCTCAATAGAGAGGTTTGAGAGAGTGAGTTGGTTGGCATCTCTACTTTATATCCACTAAAGGGGTCTTCTATGTAAGATTCAAGCTTTGCTTCGGACTAAGAGCTTGATTGATTCTCATTAATTGAGAAAAAAAATGAGTTTTGAATAGTATTTTTAGTAGAATTTGTGGTTAAAAAATAGGAAAAAAATTTAATAGACGTGTAGAATATTTTATTATCTAAATGTATGGTTGAAAATGATCGTGTATTAAAACACAAAATAAAAAAAATGGGTGTCAAAGAGGCACTAAAAGCCTGGCCATCACTTCAAAGAGATTCCGCTCATTAGCAAGCATGTGCAAAACTAGTTTTCTCTTCTAACATAGCTCAGGGTATGGCCATCTTGGACATGATGCCCAAAGCTTCAACTTTTGAGAAGAGTAGGAGTGCTCTTTTAATCTCTAGAGTTCACGTTGTTGTCAAATGGCGGTGTCTTCATTCAAGATATGGTATGTAAAGAAGAACAAAAATAAAGAGATTAATCGAGAGTTAAAAGAAACAAGTCGAGTCAATCATGCCCAACTAGTGTGCTTATTTCACATGACATACTCTAATTTTTAGAATATAAAGAGTCATGTCTACATGATCATTCAAGTCTTGAGCTCTATTTTTCAAAAGTTGATGAAAATTTATGATCCCACAATTTTTGAACGAGTACATAGCCCTTGTTTGAGCTCCATTTTTGAGGAAAGAATGAATTTTTGAATAGTGTATTGATGAAAAATGTGTGGTTAAAAAATAAGAAAAAGTTTTAAATTTACGTGTAATATTATTTTATTGAAGAATGTGTGATTGAAATAATGTCAAAACACTGTTAAAAAATATATTTTTTCAAAAGAATAGAGCTCAAACAAGGACATAAGTGTTCATATCATGATTATGGATCATCAAACGAGGGATTATGTACTCCTTTCATACTGCACACTTCCGTTAGTTACATTGTGTCGTAATTTTAAAGAAATATTTATACTCTAAAATTTCACAAAGATTAAAGCTTATTTTTAATAGTTTTTGGAGCTACAAAATATAGTATAATTTTTAAAAAGGACCCGTATAAGAAATCATGAAAGTTAAAGGCTCATAATGCAATAAATATAATATAATATCTGTTCAATAAACTATTTTATAATGAATAATGCAATAATGTGACATGTTGACTGTTTTTGCATGTGAGGACAACCTTCGGTTCCTAAACGGGTCCCACCCAAGTTGGGTTTTTGGACTCAAGTATTCGTTGATTCGAAAGGGTTAGCTATGTTTGCACATGCTTGGGACATTATCTCAACACGTTCTCATCTACATTATCAAAATAATTAAAATTATAATTTATAAACCAATTTGATTATTTTACAAGTTTATTATGTCAAATATACTTAAATTTATTACACACACATTTAGAGATTATTAAATGGTTTACGAACTATCATTATTTAATAAGTTTCAAATGTAAAAAAGAATAAATTAAATTGTTATATTATTTTGTAAAATGGAAACTTAAGCCTTATTAAAATTAACGTACCGTGTTTCAAACATTTAAGAAAAATGAAGTGAAGAAGTTTTGTGTTGAAGTCCGACCTTTGGCGATCATTTTATCACATTAGAGGGTTACTTTCGTAATTTTATTTGACACCAAATAATTGACTTCCCCCAACTTGTTTTGTATTAACAATTAATGGTCTAGCTCACTTTAGCATACCTTAATTACCTATGGCAAATATCACATGTAATTTGTGAATTTGTCTAGAATAGCAATTCAAAAATATCATAAATTTGGGAGAAAATACGAGTGTAAGCATCAACGTTTCTAGTCCTTCTAAATAGTTGGACATGGTGTTAGGCTGTAAATGGGTAGAATCTGTCCAAAATTGATTCGATACGTTAAGAATAATTATTTGATTCAATTCGATAATTCAATGGATATTTGGTTATTAAATCCATATCCGATTTGCTATATTATTTGATATCCAATTCAATGACCCTATTCAAATTTGAAAAAATTAGAAAGAAAAAAAATTTATTAGTCAACTTCTAAGCCCTAAAATCAAAAAATACAGACAGTTTTTAACTCAATTCTTGGTATGCTATTTATATATTGTAAATTTTATAATATTCTAGTGAGTGTCCAATGTGGCAAAAAAAAAAGTTGAAAATAATGAAAGCAATTCCAACCGTTGGCTGTTCTGGTTGTTTTATTTATAAAATTAAATTAATTGTTATTTTTATCTTATATTAATTAATAAAAATTTAAATCTCTTCAAATATTTCAATTAATAATATTATACTATTATCTAATATTATTTATTATTTGAAAATTATGTGTATAGTATAAAACAAGTTTTAAAATGGAAAAAATTGTGTTTAATAAATTATGCAACAATATATAAAATATATTATATTGTTATAATAAATCGGATTGAGTTATTGTCGGATCGGATTAATCCATATCCATATTTGCTTCATTTAGTTAATGGATTATCGGATTCGAATCTTGATTGAGTTATCAGACTTAGACTCTAAATTCATTTCCAATTAATTTCATCAAATTCGGATCGAAATTCAATCCTTTTGACAGCCCTACATAGCTTGTTATAAAGGTCAAACACACTAAACAAATTAAAATAAATATATTTAGATGAGTAAAATGAATTGAACCACTTGGACTTCATCTATTTTATATCTTACTATTCAAGTGGCAAGTTGAGTTAATTTCATACGTTTTAGCTAAAAGACTCAAACTAGGTCTTATTAATATCAAGTTCTAAGATTTTTCTTATTATATAAATGCAAATGTCTTATAACTTGATTGACTCAAAAAGTGTAAAGTCATACGGGTTTAAATCGGGATATATAAGTTATTTTTTCTTAAAAAAATCGAACTTGTTAAACATATTCTAGTTCACCACGTTTTTTAGGTGACCCGATCGTTTCTCGATTAAAGATTTTTGATCGTTTTTCAATTTCCTATTTGAATCAGACATCGACTTCGCTTCATATGACATTGCTAAATACAAGAAGTATTAGTACAATTATAATTTCCATGATTAGACAGATATCCATCAGCACAAAACTCTCTACAATCTTGATTAAGAAAGCAAAGACTTGGAGGAAAGATAAGATGAAAGAAGTTTTAAGCCAAAAACATGACCAAAAACAGGGGATTTGACATCACCACAAAAGAATACCCAAAATGCATATGAGTGCAACTTTCGATTGGAATAGACAACTAAATTGTTGTCTGCCCAACTTTAAGAAGCCCATGTTACCTGCAATCATCCTTTTTCCTCTCCAATGTGCACCACATTATTTCTTATCCAATTCATCTACCTTGTCTACTTTCGCACACTATGTTAATTAGAGGCCCCCATGCCCCTTCCTGGGGGCTTGACACCTGTCATTACATTGTGGGACCCCATTGTGGTTTTCTTTCCTTTTCATTTTTGTATTTTTTTTGGGCGTGGGGACTTAAAATGTTGGAAGAAACTCGGAGCAGAATTTCGTAGTCTTGAACTAACAAAAGAGTATAGCAGAAATGTTAAAAATCTTGCCATAATATATCGTCTCATCTTGTCCATATCATACTAAAAACATGGTATCATAGTTTATGACTGACTTCTTCCTTTGTCTCATGTTCAGGTAGTTTTGTGATCAAATTTTCCAACTCCAGAGCAATCTTGGCCTGCTGCTTTATGTTAACCATCTCCTCTCTTGCATCGTTCTCACCGGTATCATCGTCTTCCAGTAGTTCCTTCCAAAATTTATAGTCACCCGACTCCTTCACATTCGCTTCTGAAGTCAAATCAACCTTATGATCCTGAATGGGAGGTCCCGCATCACCAGTGTTGGAAACTGACACTAAAAGAAAAATGACAATTAACTACAATTTTTTACAATAAAAAAAGAAGAACTATTTTCCCAACAAAATTTAAATACTTGCCGTTGATTGCCGGAAGGGCATCACTTGTTGTAGCCCGACAAGCATCGGTGTTTTCTGTTGCAGCAGCCATTCTCGGTTTCTTTCTGGTCTCGTTGTTACTAAGATCCCTTTCCTTCCTCACAAAAATTTCATCAAATGCTTTGGCTAATAACATAAGCAATTTTTTCGATTTACTTTGGGCATTTTCAATGTGTTCTTTGAAGGTGACAATTTGTGTTTCCATATTTTCTTGTTTTTCCTCTAGTTGCTGGATTTCCAACTTTAAACCATTTATACTATCCCTCAAATTTCCTAGGACTAACTCCGTTTCATGCTCGTTCAAGGCAAGACAAGGTTTTCTTGTCCGTTTTTGTTTGTTTAAGGTTTCATGTTTTTGGTTTCGCCTCTTTATTTTTATGAGCAAATGTTCTTTCCCAGCTTGAAAATATTGGTTCTCATATTCCCACTGATGCTCCACTCCAATCTTTCTGAATCCCTGCAATATTCACAACATTAGAGCAAATGTATATGGACAATATATGCAAAAATAAAAAGGAAGACAACCAAGTATCTATAGGGCATGCATGCTAATACGGATATAAAAAAGATTTTAGCTAGGGCCGACCAAGAATTATTAGAACCTACATAATTGTTAAGTTGGTAAATAAAGCTTGAGAAGTTGCTGTGCTTAAAGTTTTGAGGGAGAAGCTCTGCGGAGAACTGGAGATGGTCCCAAACAATGAAGCTAGTACCAGAGGAACTCCATGAAATAATGGAGTTCGTGTTTGGATCATTCACCATACTAAAAATTCTTGTCAAGAATGGAGGTGGTACTCCGAATTCGCGCACTCCTTTTCCTGATTTTAGCTTCTGTGAGTTCCACCTCGGAGATGGCCAAACTCCACCACCACTAGCTCCGGCCTCCTCCTCAATACCAACACCACCAATATCCATCATTACAACTTATTTTTTCCTCAAAACTTTCCACTTTTACCAATATAGAGTACCTTATTTATGCATGTCTAACACAAGGATACAAGAGTACATATTTGACAAAATCAAGACCCTTAATTTTCTGAGCAAAAGATTAGAATTACATTAAAAAAATTAAAAATTAGTTTCAAATTCATAGCTGGGAATATATTCTTTAGCATAATATTTGTATAGTTTGTACTAGTTATTTTGATTTGATGGCTGAATGAATTAGAAGGCCACATCAATATCGTGTCAAATTGAGTACAAGCGGGGCATATTTGGTATTAAGCCTTTTAAAATAAGATTGGAATCTAAAGGCCCAATTTCTTTGTAAAAATTGGGCCCAATTAGTCCATGGGTCACATCAGATATTCTTAGGGTAAAAAGAATCATAAGCCAGGTATTAAGTACGAAAAAAATCATAAGTCGAGTATTAAGTATGCACCAAATTAGTTTTTAGACATTAAGGGTGTGTTTGATTACATTTATTTTCCATGGAAAATATCAGTTTTCCACCCAAATTCCTCTTTGGAGTGTTTGGTTGCTATTTTTTTTCATGGAAAATATTTTTCAACTTTTGAAAATATGCCTAATTTTCCTTGTTTTTAAGGAAAATATTTTTTTTGGGTAGAAGTGATTTTTATTTTTCACAAAAGATGGAAAATATTTTCTTTTCTAGGTGATATTTTTCATGTCAATCAAACACACTCTAAGTTCAAAAATTCGAAAGTCAAATATTAATTCAATATTTTAATTTTAAGTAATAAAATTATAAAATCAAATTAATTTACCCACATTCACCCCACATAACAACCATCTCCTAACCTCACGCAGCTACCTTGTTGCCATCACATCTTCTAGTCGTCGACATTCACCCAACCAACGACTTCTTCGGATAGTACAAATAGAGAGAGAAGTATAACGATCGTTGGAGAACATCGAGTGAGCATTATCGACGACTGATCATCTTCTTTAGCCGTGACTCAGCAATGCTGGTATAATTGAAAACTATTTTTAAAATTGAATAAAAACAATCTCTAGTGTAATTTACAAAGTAATTAACAGAGCAAATAACTTTAATTCTCACCTCTGCAATCTAGTTAATTGAATTTGTGACCGGCTCGAATAACTAAAATCAAAGAAATCAATGACATGTGATTAGATCTCTTGAATTTGTGAATTGTGACATATGCACTTAGACATATAACCAGTTACATGTGACTTATAGCTCAATGAACATTTATCTATGACAAATTTTAATTGATCCATGACCTGTTGATATTGATCTGTGACCAATTAAATTGTTCTGTGGTTTATGAACATTAATTTGTGATCAATTTTAATTGATATGAGACCTATGGACATTGATTTGTTACCTACTTATAGTAACTCGTGGACATTGATCTGTGACCTATACACAGTTACATGTGACTTGTAAACAAATTGTGAGGCACCGTCACCACCTCCTACACATCACCACCTGTGGACATTGATTCATAGTTATCGGACTTCACTAGCACCTCAGATCCACCATAACCACCTCCTAAGCTCCTACACATCTCTACCACCACCTGCCCGAACACACCACCTTAACACGCCACAAGCAACAGATCGAAAAGAAGCCTTACCGTCATAGTCGCTACGCGTGATGGAACTATAAGTGCTACCGTGCGCAAAGCTTCAACGCTTCTAAGCTTCGCCTCACAATAAGCATCAATTTAAATACCTATTTATATGTAATTTCCTTTATTCTTATTCATGGGTTTATGGCCCTTCTCATTATTCATGTGTATGTGTGTATGCGCATGTGTATTTTTCTTTAATCTCTCAACTATAAAAGTATTTTGGACATCTAGTAGTAGTAACTAATAATCGAGTCATAAGCTAAAAAGATTACCTTTCTTATTTTGACGAAAAAAATATCATGTAATTTTTTGACCACCAAAAATTAAAAAATATAGAGAAGTATTTGTATTATGCTCGTGATCATGATTCATGCATTTCTTGATTGAGGAGATCAAGTTAAGATAATAAAAATCTCACTTTTTAATTCACATTAATGTTATGTAGCGTCGGCATTACTCTTCGATAAACATTGATTGGTCATATATTTCGTCATGAGTTTGTTATTTAAGGTATTCTTTCTTATTTGATCCATTTTAATTTTTTATTCAAAATTCAATATCATTCTTGCTAGATTAGATGTTAATACCTGATCAATACATGTATTTTTCATCATTGACTCAAATTGTATGAGTTCGTTTAACATATAATTGTATCATCAATTATTCAACTTGCATAGTAGAGAAGGAACTAAAGTGACTTTTGTATGTCAAATCCCTTTCATTAAAACATTCACAAACCATTTAGCATGGCCAATTGTCTCTCAAGGTCCACAAGTGATGTCCAAATGCCAACTTAAAGTTTTTCACAAAAAGTTGTTTTCATATCACATTCTTCACTGATTCACTCTTGGGATCCAAACGGTTGAGGACCATTACGGTTCCTTCTCGATAATTCATCCATTCCTTATCAATATATGAATAACTTTGAACATGCTTGATATACGATAATGAAGTGATCGATTGGCACATATATAAAATAAAACTTTAGCTTTGTGTCAAATAATGTAACATCTCGTCTTGCATACTAGAAGTCGTGCAAGAAAAAATGTTTCTAAACGAGCAAGGACAAATGAGTCATTACAAAACCTTCATCATTAATAATCTTTGGATTAAGTGAGTAAATGCACTTTACCATTCATTTAATACAATGGTAAACCTTCTATTTGCTAAAACCCATAAACCCATAAACGTTTTCCCTTTTAGTTAATCACAAGGGTTAACTGTATCAAAACTTGGTCGGAAATAACGCCGGGAAATTCACGTCATCTCGACGGAAAAAGATTAATCTCAATCAAATTATCTTCGTCGACTTCACTATTATTCTTCTTCCCGTCCAATTCAATCTCTATCAACCCTTCTTTATCATCATCTTCCCACCGGGAGCACAAATGCTCCGATAACTCCCAGTCTTCAATCTTCGGGGAATCTCCCTCCGATGAGGTCTCTGTATCGGATTCCGGATAATACAGTGACAAAGATGCGTATTTTTCAATTACAGCCATCTGGGCCTCTCTCTTCTCCTCCCAAAACGCCTCGTTTCCTTCTTCTTCACCTTCGTATTCTTCATGTATAACCTCCAACGGTGCCCTCACGTCCCATTCCACAAAACAATCAGCCAAAAAATTGGGACCCTGATACGAAGTCGCACTCGGTTCGCTGTCGGATTCATATGAGACCCGGTTGAGATCATGATCAGAAGATTCTTCATTCAGCGGCAATAATTTTGGTGGCGAATCGAATTCCGGGGAATTGGATCCCGTTTCCTTTTGGGTTTTTTGACTTGCACCGAGCCGGAGAAGATAGAGTAAGATAATTGAAGTGAAAAATATAACTGGGGAGAAAATAATTCCACGAAAAAAAGTTGGGAAGTAGAGTAGAATCAGAGTGTAGAGAGTGAAAACGGTGGAGAATAGAGGGTTTGAGCAAAGAAAGGTAAAGAAACAGGATTCTCTTGTTATTCGTTTTTCCTCCATGGATGAATTTCTGAAGACGAAAAAGAAACTCAGTTGTGGGAGATATATATTAGCAGGAAATACATTGGAATCAAAGTCGGGATTAAATTGAATTACATAATTCCATTAAATCATGCACCAACACAACACTATTGTTCGTGTGTGAGTGACACAGAGAGTTTTCAAGAAGAGACAGCTTTGATAGGTTTTAAGGCAGGTTTGAAAAGTAATAAAAATCAGCTTATGACTTATTTTTCACCATGATAATTGATTATTGATATGACAGTCAAGAAAGCTATTTGCCTTCATGAAACTTGAGCCTTAAAATCTAATCTCTTGAATTGATTGCCATCGGTTTGCATGAAAATCAACGGCTCCCTTTCATAAAAAGTGTGGATCTCGACTCTCTAGTTTCATTTTTGTCGCACCACTCCAATCAATTTAATCATCATCTCAGTTATAACGACCTACATAACTCAAAAAAAGAAAAACGAAAAAAACATAGTTTATGTATTCTCCAGGATATTTTATGTGTATAAAAGTTCAATGTGCAGATGTATGCATAAAGAGAGGGCAGGGCGTCCCAAGAAAAGCAATTTGATAAATACAGTTCTTGAAATGATATGTAAAGAGTAGATAGCTTTTTGGTTCTCTAACGTGCGTGGGATGGTTCAGAGAATCATTTAACTTGAGACTAGTGGAGGATGCACCAAGTTCAAACGGAACACTGAATTTATAAGCAATGAAAGTTTTGAGAAGATCTTTATTTTTATGAAAATTTTGTTTTTAATAGTTAAGTGAATATATGTTGTGGAGTTTTTCGATTCTTGTTGGATTTTTGTTACTTGTTGAGCAAAATATCCAAGATTTTCATTTTAAGCAACAAATGGAACATTGAACGTAAGAGGAAATTTGCGATACTACAATAATTCTCAAACTCGTCAATAAAAAGTTTATAATTATCTCATAAATTTCCGTACTTTTACAGGTTGTAACATAAAAGACAAAATATTAAAGAGAATTTCGATATGTTTTTCAACGTGTTCCTCTATTTATATTATGCTAATATAATAAAAAAAAAATCTCAAATCCCCGAGTTAAATTTTTTACCACTTTTTGACTTCTTGATTATAATTTTGGACATTGCAAGAGTTTGATGAGAATCATAGCGCAAAAACCCCTGAGTTCATGGAGGCAATATTGCAAATTGTCATAATAAAATATTTTATAATATTTGTGGAAACTTCAAACAGTTATTTTAAAGGAAAAAGGAAAAAGTCTAAACCCCCAAGTGTTCAACCAAACACTTCTCCAAAACATCGTTTTAAGGAAGTCTTTTAGCTAAGTCAATCCAAGCAACTACCACAGCATGGTCAACTCTATAGGAACCCCCGAAAGAAAAACTAATTGTTATCAAGTAAATTTCAAAAATTCACAAAACAAGTGACCTAAATTGACAATGGTGGTTCAATTTCCACCTTACAAATCATAAATTCATAATTCCTAAGCCCCGCCATACCAATAAAGTTGCCAATCATGCGAGTCTTGAATATCTTTATTTTCCATCTCAATGGAAACTTACCCTACTTGCTTTCTTTGAATTTGAATATATGCTCAAGATAAAGGCCCATAGGCCATTTGAGTTGTGCTCAATAGCCAACGTTGAGTTACACGAACATAGGGCATCAATTATGTTAGAAACTCTAGGGACTCAACATATTATTTTTGTCATACAATTCTATTAAGTGATCAAATTTTTTTGACAAAGAGGGTGAACGACTCTCAAAACGACGGGGCCACTTTTTTTGGACTTTGTTATTCATGCAAGACCCATGACATGTGAGAGGATGTCAACCATTCGGGCACAAAAATTCTAGCAAAGGAGCAAAATTCTTCGTTGTATACATAGTCACACGACGAATCATCAAAGACGTCAATCATTCAAGTTTTGAAGATAACTTTTTCCGTCCATCCTCTATGGAGAATTAAGAACAAAACGAGCAGGACACGAATCCTTCATGGAGAAACATTAGAGCAAAGCAAAAGGAGACGTGCACGTGTCCTGCTTGCTTTAAAGATGGAGAGAATGGCAGTTGTTAGTTGTGGCAGACAACGAATCTGATCCGTCAAACTCTTCAAAGACAGCACTGTGCACTTAGAAAGTGAAAATTAGGGGAACCAAAAATGAAGTTCGATACAGATTTTGGGCCAAAAATGGTTTCATCACATGGCTCGGGTCCGGTTGCAATTGCAAGGTATTTTCAAGCAGTGTTCAATTTTATCTGCAAGGGATCACGTTCTCTTGCAAGTAAAACTTGGTCAAAGTATAAAGCATTGCACCTACAAAATTTTCTACCACTACTCCTCGAGAAAAACCCGACCAAAAGCTCTATCCTTTTATCATGAGGTATTTGTCTGAGGTTAACTTTTGTTGACTGCTTGTCGAAGCTACACTTGATAAATCGAGGAAAAGTACATCTCCACCCGAGTACGCACTCGCATTTGAGAGGATAAAAATCCATTGACATTTACTAGAAAATATTCACCCTATCTTTGACTCATATTATCTTTTCCAAATACCTAATTTGACACTCTCAAGCATCTCTCAATCATATTAGATCACATATCAAAGTCGAATAATGAATATTGAATGCAATTACACATCATATCTCACTTAAGGTATCTCAATTTAAATCATAATTAGGTGATATCCCCATAATATAAACATCCCTAAAAGGTACTTCATCTCAACTTTCGTTCATGCATTAAAGTGCTCTCCAGCCTCATTTTCAATCCAAGACTAGCAAGGACTTCGACTTCAAACATGGGAGGGAACTCAATGTTACACAATTCTCACTCCAACAGGCCAACACAAGATCATGCTTGTTAATTGGGGTATATTTTTTCAACATCGTTACCCATAAATCATAATTTTTCAGGATTTGTTCTGTTTATATGCCATCCTAAATTTTCAATATCAACCCTCCCAAGTCAAAGAAAATACAAATATCTATATTCTTTCAAGTATTTTCCACCCTTTTTTTCATTAATTTTCGTATGGATTCGCTCCAACTGAACACTCGAGGAGCCACAGCAAGAAAAATCGTGTCAAGACCATTCTGAATCAAAGAAAACATACTGCTACTGATCAGCAACAACCCGAAAAATAGTCCAACATCAAATGTAAAAGGGAATACATTTAATTAGATTCATTCAAATAAATCAAAATGAGTATGTCTTATATACAACACCCAAAGATCTTCATCAAAACAGAAGCACCAGCACGGTGCTTCAAGACTTCCATCTACATACATGTTCACAAACAATTTAAGACAAGCCAAACCATCTTCAATAGAATAGTTGAAGAAAACAGGCCTGAAAGCTATTTGTTTCTACATGTACAAACAATTCCAAAACTATACAAAACCTCAATTTCATATCTCTGTTTCCATTGCCATTAATAAATCTTTCCGTGCCCAATTATCTTCGCTACCAGATGAGAACAAGGTCACTGAGATGTCGGCTAGCTTCTTTGCACTCAATCGAGACCTTGGAACCCTCAACTGCTTTGGAGCATTGGGAGCTTCAACTTCATTGAACTCGCACAAATTGCCCACATTTTGGAACCCGATAGTCTTTCTTGGAGTACTATATGCAAAATGCCACTGCTTTGCAATCAAAGTCTGTTTTATTCGAGTAAAAACCACAAATCAAGATTCATAATAGTCAAAATATCAAAATCATTCTGAGGACTACAAAATCTTACCGCATCTCTTAGTGTTTTTGATACAAAAACAAGTCTCTTCAAATCATCATGCTCCACACCACACAATATCCTAATCTGCATCACAAAAAGATCTTTATCATTTTAGAACATAGTTTAGTACGACAGGCACAAACAAGACATTCTTATTCTGTAAACATAAAACTTTAACGAATACTGCTGATAATCAATGAATACAATCATTCATTATCAGTCATATACATGAAATTACCCAAATTAATCATAGTGTTTCACAATAGTGAAAGAATTAATTAAGCAGAAGTATACTAACCAGAACATCCTGTGGCAGGGCTTCAAGAATAGACTTGTCTGAACAGAAAAATGAATCTTCATAACACTGTCTCTTTGCAGGTGTGGTGAGAATACAATCATCATGACCATCAAACTCCAAATTAAAATGCGACAAAGCAACCCTTTTCCTTCCAAATGATGTACTCCTCACCAGTCCCATTCCATACCCTTCATTTGCTCTGTTCACAATTGACTCAAATTTCTTCCCCATCGCCATTTTTTCTATTTGCAAACTTCAACAAAAAGATCAGAATTATCCCAATAATAAGCCAGAATCCAAATAAAATCTTAAAATAATAGATGCCCACAAACCAAAAACAGAAAAAAAAAAAAAAATCTGTCACTTCCTATAAATCCCCCTGGCAGATGTATAATTTTATTGTAATGTAAAAGGAAACGAAGAACCGACTTTCAACTATCTGCTATATTAATATATCACTCTCCTATATATAGAGTCAAGTTTTATAAAAATGGCATTTTTTAAACATATTTTTCCTTTGTGGGTTTTTTTCAGCAAACAAGTATCAAAGGCAAAAAAATCTGCTTCGAAAAGTATTTGAGATTCGCCAGAAAAGACTCGAAGTTTCCAATTTAAAAACCTTAGAATTGCCTACTAGCCGTTGCATAAGGACACGTGGCGGGAGGATGGAGGTTAGAGGAAGCAAGTTGGATAGTTCCGATGATGTGGCAGATAGTGGTCGGTCTAAGTCGGCTATCTTTATCTACCACGTCTCTGGTCCTTTGCTATTTAGAATTGAGGTGTAGCTTTAAAAATGACAATTTAATTACATGACGACACGTGGAAGATTTGACAGTTGAGATTTGGTGTGGTGATACGGGGAGAGCTTAGGATTCTAATTCAGTGGCTGGCGCGAACCCACCATGTTATGGCCTAGTGGTGAAATTTAGATTTTCTATAATATTTCTATTTTTTTAAAATTTAGCCCTTGTTTGATCCCCATTTTGAAGAAAATAATGCATTATAAATAATAAATTGGTAAAGAATATGTTGTTAAAAATTAAAGAAAAATTTTGAACTTTCCTGTAATATTATTTTATTGAAGAATGTATGTTTGAAAATGAATTTTTAAAAGAATGGAAATCAAATAATGGTTTAATAAATTGAATTGTAATCTTTGCTAATGCTAAACATGGATCAAACAATTTATAACCTATGAATAGAAATGGCCATTGCTAAGTGTGAACGAGTATTACTTTGAAGACGTGATAATTACGTAGACGAAGACATAAAACTAAATAAATTTTTATTTTTATTTTCTGGGAGGAGGGGGGAGACGTTGAAATTTGATCCAACTAAAAAAACTAGGCGTGTGATAAAATAATAAAATCTTCCCCAAATGAAAAAAAAAAAAAAATGAAAAAGAAAGCAATTTCATTTAAAGGAGTTCAAGATTTTTTAACACTCTTTTTAATGGGTCCTCGTATTTTGGCGGGAAACAAATTGAATATAGACCTTGAATAAGACAGCCTTCCGTGTACCGTCATTGCCGACAAGGCCCATTTCACAAAACTTTTGAATTTACATTTTCTGCTAAAAAAAAAAAAAAGAAAATCATGAAATAATTACCTTATTTATATCAATTTTTTTTTAAGAACTCTTCTAATCAAACAAAATACTTTCATAAAACTATTCAAAAAGACAAAAATAATTTCTTAATTTCAAAAATAATTTTGACATTTCAAAACTATTGCCAAATTAGCCCTAAGATGTTGTACAACAAATATTTACTTTAAATTGTTTGTTTAAATATTTTTTCATAGAGAAATTTGAAAATCAAGTATAACAATGAATGTATAAAGTTTCCAAATATTGAAGCATATAGATTTTACTGGAAAAGAAATGATTTACAAAAGACCAGTGCTTAACTCATGTTTTACACCATTGACATAATTTATCAATCTACTAGTAGATAACAAATTTAATTTAAATGTTAAACTCACTATAAACTTATCCACCAATAAATTAATGCGACAAATCACCAATGCTTAACATGGAAATATGATCGAATTAGCTATGGTCATCGACATACAATCATTCCCAAAGTCAGACAAAAATATGAATCGATACGGAGCACACTAGTATTAGCAAAAGCTCGGGAAAATGTATCATCCATAGTTGAAAATTGAGATGGCCATTCTTCATTGGAAAAGTAAACCAACCAAATACTCAGAATAAGTTATAAAGAATTTATATTATCCAAATAAATTTACTTCTCAAAATAAAGCAATTTCTAGATGAACTTCATCTTTCGTAAGAGCTTTTGAAAAAGTCACATTGGATCAACTTTCTTTAAAAGTTCTTCTAACTAAAATAAACATTTTTATGATTAAATTAGACAGGAACTTCTCAAACATTATGCCAAAGGAACCCTAATTTTAAATAATCACGGTTCATAGAACCAAGAAATGATTCTGAGCTAACCATTTTTAAGAATTTATTTCGTTTATTTATAAATTTGGTGAATATTTTTTAGTAGATAACACTTGAAATTTTTCGTTTGCATCGAATGAAGCTTATTATTTTTATCTGGACACGAGTCTTAATTTTTTGTAATAAAACTTTGTAATTTAATTTGCATTAATAATTTACAAACTTTGATTATGGAAAGGAACCAAATCAAATTGAAACCATTGGATTCAATTCCATTCCATAATTATCAATACAACCAACAGTTTCGATATTAACCAAAGATAAGAAAAAATATCATTGATTCTCAATTCTTTTCAAATTCGAATCAATTCGAACCATGCTTATCCTTAGAATATAAAAATCAAAGAGAACGTAATTCCAAGAAATTGAGTTACGCAGAAGCACCATTGTCAAAGAAAATCTTGTACAAATAAAAGAAAAAAAATTAAAAATCACATCACCATAAAATGAGTTGTACTACACTTTGCTCACAGATATTTTACAGAAAAAACACATTGGTGGAGTGGGTAGTTGATTTTTTGGCATTTTATATCATACACTTGCACACGGTGAGGGTTCTGGCCAAATTCTGTGAACAAAAATTATGTAAATGCAAAATTTTCCCCATATAATTTAACCAAGTTATATCAAGTACAATCAGCAAAATATATCAGCTTAGCTGACCATACTACAAAAAACAAAATGTGATCAGCAAGCACAATTCACTTCTAATGTTTCCAGATAATTACGCAAAAGACACGACAGATGCATACTTGCATATTAGAATTGAAATGCCATTTTTCCACAAAAAGTATTGCTGAGATGCCGGTACACACGAACGAGAGTGACATCAAACCCCTAAAACACTCCAAAAACTCAGAATAAGTTATCAGAGCAATCTATAACTTATAAAGGAACAAAGTTACCTCTAAGTCGCGGATCTTTAGAAAATTTCTCCACATCCTTCACAGCTTGGTTCAATGCATGGACAATCATTTTCTTCACCTGGTCAAGATAAAAGTTTCATTCATCTTCCTATAAAAATTTATGACTTTATAAGCAAAAACAGTCATGAAGACTAAAGAGGTAACTAATTCAAAGCAGTGTCATGGATATTTATTACGTCAGATTAAACAGAAATACAAGCAAGCGAAACGCACAAAATATGATGCAATTTAGGAAAATCAAACCTCGAGCTTATCTTCCTTAGCCATATGATTTTTAGGAAGCTTGCGAAATTCTTCAGTCAAACGGACGCACTCGTGAACATTTTCAGGGGATACAAAGTCCATTGCCACCTTTATGCATGACTTTACACAGAAAGATGTGAGAATATGGTTTGTAGCCAAACAAACAAAATAAGTTGTATAATTCAGTTTGTGCATCAGAAACTGGAGAATTCGTGCAAAAAACTTTTCTGTTAAAACAGAAGCATCTATTTAGAGCAGAGTGCAGACTTAACTACCAATCTAAAGAACTAATCAGATTGAAACCAAAGACATAATTTTTATGTATTTCTATTTCACACTTGATACTTTAGAATAATAGAAAGAGAACAGGAATTTGCCAGCGCATAAACCTCAAGATTTTCTTCAAGCTCAAGGGATGAAAAGTAGGACAAAAAGATTAAGAAATTAGGAGAAACCACCATAAAAAGAAGTTAGTACAGAAAATAGTCTTAAGATTACGTTGTACAAGTTCTTATAAGACCATTTAGTGAAATCAGAGCAAGCTGGGCCAAGATTTTCATCGTTGCCTATAAATGTCACAACTTCATTAGGAGCTGGCCTTGTTCGATCTGATCAGGTCAATTGGATAAATATAATGTTGTTATTCTTCACGCCCAAAACACTGCTACAGACTTATTCGTGATACCTTACAGTTGAACATCAATAAACCGCCACAAAAATAAGTAGACAGTTACAAAACAACACTACCTTCAAATTTCTAACTTGATGAGGGCAGCCAGCGGGTATAAAAACTGCATCCCCTAATTTCTGAACAAAAGTCCACGGTTCAATTCCTGTAGAAGCAAATCCGTCGAACATAATCAGAAGAAAATTAACCGTATAATATAGTTACATATTAATAAAGTAGGAAGAAAATCAACCATATTCCTCCTTAAGCCTCCTTTTATGCTCCATAGTCAAGTAAACTGTTTGATCATGGATTGGGTGGAAAACCTGTTATAGACAAAGATGTGCAAAAGCAGGTGAGTAAAATTATAAAAACATGAAATGGACTCGTGGACGTGGGACTTTCTCTTGTGATAGGAATACAGCAGAAGGTGAGATTTATAGGTTGAATCCCTTTTAAAAGCTAAAGCTGGTAGACGGGACGAGAATAACTCTTGTTAACAAAGAATATCGAAGAAATCAAAAAAATTTACGTAGATCTAAAATTAGACTCAAAATTTAAGAATGATCACAATTTCCGCCTATTTAGTTTTCCATGCCATTACATTATTCATTACTCAAATTGTTTATTGTAACAATTTGATTTCTACATTCTTTGAATTTCAAAAATAAATAAATAAATAATTACCAGAGTTAAAAATGCTTTTGCATTCTAAAAACATTATGATAAACCTAGAGGCATGCATCTATCACAGATACTATATACTGCAAGAGAGATGAAATATTTCATTAAATTTCAGGAAGATCAAATTGGGGAGGTTATATGACCTTCTGCAGCTGGTTACAATAGATATGCCTGAATTCCTTCACGTGCTTCTTGATATATTCCTCTAGTTTAGGGGTATCTTGCCTTCTAAAGATATCCCAAAGAGCACCACAGTCATCATCTTCAATCCCTTCAAACGAAGTCTTATTACCTTCTTCGGCGGTAAAACTGCTTACTCTCTCACAACCGCTAACTTTTCTATCTCCTGTTTCATTTGTCATTCCTAAAACACTGGGCGATTTCTTACTCTTATTCCTTCCAGGGCGCTTCTTTTTATTTCCATTGACTTCAGTGTCATTTTCAGCAACTTTGACTTCTGATGGCATAGCCGAATCATGTTCTTTAATTTTTCCCTCTCTACCAGGTACTTGCTCTTCCACACAATTGTTTACAATATGCAAGCCTCCCTCTAACTCAGCCTCTGAGTTAAACATGTTCCCATTCACTAGATCAGATACCTTTAAATCTTTGGTTTCTTTTTCCAAGCCAGTACCACCTGTTTCCAACATCTGCAGTGAACCTTGTGCATCAATCTTGGATAGTCCCATTTCAACTTGAGCGATTTGACTTACTTTCTGACAATTTCTGGAAAACTCCCGCTGATCCTGGGCAGCATGATCCTGTTTCAACTTAATTATGGTTGAAAGTTGAGAAGATGGTATGGGCACTGTTTCAGTGTGTGTTAACACATTCACCTAAAACAGACATGAAATCAGAATATGAGCTCCCAAAATTAGGAAGTGACAATAACACGCAACATCAAATCAGGAGTTTCAGAACATCAAGATCCTTTGCAACCCACTTCAGTGACTGCCTTTCAATAGCTATTAATATTATTTTGCTTAAGGTCATAAAAAATTAGGTGTGTCTGCTTCTAGTAAAGATTGTAATCTCCAACACGAACTATGTGACATCCTCCCAATCTTTTCTTTGTCAAATCAATTAACCTACACATCGTATGGAAGAGATATCATTTCAATACTATTTAAATATCAACAAAAAACCATTTGTGGCTTCTTTCTTAATTTTTCTACACTAACAACTATAAGAAGTCTAAATCCCAGAACAAAGAGGATATCAAGCAACCATGCAGTGTGCTACTGTACTTCATCTTTATAGATGAATAAAAACGTTATCATAGGACAAAGGCATACTGCATCAGACATATCACAATGAAGCTTTGTTACTGAGTCTCCACGTCCTAGCTCCTCACAAAATCCATAAGCTATGTAAGTCTTTGGCCCCATATCTGGCTTCAGAGACTTTTTGGGTAATTTTACAGCAAGATTTAAGTATCCACTGCGAGGATGTGTATACTCCTTGAAAGGCAAGCAATTAATGAACTCAGCACCATGACGCGGCAACTGCTTCTCAAAGAAAGTGGATGGAGGCCAGTCTTTCAACTTCAAAATCTGAGGCCACCCAGACTTGTCAAATTGACCCTCTGAATACCCTTTAAAAAACTGATGAACATTGACATCTGTCTGCAAGTCGCCCAAAATTATATTCATTCAGCATTACAATTAGAGACATCAAGTGAGAAAAACCGTACATCATTACATTCATGGCCAAAAAACAAAATGGAGATTACTTGAGAACAGAACTGTTTAAACATACATTACATGGTTGGCATAAAAGCTTCATAATTCACTGATAAACCACAACAGCTAAGATGCAAAACATACTTCAAACTACCGGGAAATCAATTTATCTAATCAAACTGAAAGGGCCACTAGAATGCCCATATATAAGGTATATGCAGAAATAATGGGAAAAACACCTTCAGCGAGCTTCAGAATAAATTTTTTACAATTGTTCCACTATTTTTCAGAGTAGATCTCTATGAGATAAATAAAATTATCGGCTCACGCTAAATTATAAATTACTTAATGGTTTGATGGCTGTAAGGTAGGAAGGGCAGTTGAAACTCCTTATATTAAAGTGTTTAAATATATAATTGAGACACAGTAATTCTCATCAAGCAAGCGGTAGCATCTGAACTTTGAACTAGTTGAAACTTGAATCACAATCAATAGAGAAAAACTAGAAAGAAAATTGAGTAATGACCAAGACAACAGGGAAGGAGGACATCCAAAGGAACTTGCATAACAGCTACCATATGAAATTGATTCACGAATTTTGAATATAATAATCCATTTGAGCTCAGAACGCAGCAACAAGATTTTTGAGAGATGTTGCAGCATGCTAAACCTCAATACACAGAACAAAAAGTTAAAAACAGAGAACTAAACTAACCTGACACCAATCCAAGCAATTTATAGCAGTCACATCAAGAAGTTGACTATGCCCACCATTTTTTATCTGGCGGAAAGCACGCCACATAACCATTGGTTCCCAACTGATACCAAGTGTATCGTCAAGCACATTGCTAACTATTACAGGCTCTCCTCTAAACCAATGCCTTTGGAAATGCCTCAGATGCCCATGCTGAAGGCCAACAGCAGTTGGACAATACAAATAATTGTCATTAGAATTTTCTCGAGAAGCTGCTTTACGCAGATTTCTACTGCCTACATTGTTTTTCCACGTAAATCTAGAATAAGAATGCCACTGCCCTGAATCTTCAGGCACATCCCCAACCCGATATTTGTTAATTATCTCTTCTGCTTTTACAACCAACTCTGCTATCCAATTCGGCGGTAATAAACGTTTCAATCCTAAAACTCCTTGACCACAACCACCCTTGTCTTCTGGTGGACAAGGAATGACACCATTTTCCTTGGAATTCCATTCAGATGGACATTTAAGTTCAGGATGGAAATTGGAAGTTCTATTTTTGGTCGATGAATCGACCTTTTTTGCTGAGCAGCCTCTCTTTGGTATCCGGTGTGTCTTCTTCTTGCCACCATGCAAGTAATCATATCCATAGTCAACAAATTGCAGAATCACTTCTTCATCACCTCCCTGCAGGTGGCCGTCCCTAAGTTCTCTGCAACACCTAAGGCAGAGGTCATAGGAGCACAGCAGACAGTTTCGATGATAATCAAAAATAGAAGTTCTGCAATTGTCGCTGCCAAAAATAAGAAAAAGTAAAATCAATTTCTGTGCAAATCACAGGAAAGAAGAGAAGAGATAGACTTGAGAACCTACCAATAAATTCGTTCATTCTGCTTGCATTTTGCTCTTTCAAGCCTTACATCTGAAACTGACAACCCTAACCAAGTAAACAGAAAATGAATAACAAACTCAACAAGTGTAGTCAAATGTAGCTTCAATTTTCATGTGGCAAAACATTAAATTTCAGATTCTGATATCCTAGTACTTAAAATGAACCTTTTTACTTAATCATAAGTCAATTGTAACAGGATGAGGCAGTTTGACTGCTCATTCGACAAATTTTATCAAGAAAAAGAGAAAATACATATGATATGTTTCCGAAGTTCCCAGACCAAAGGGATTCTAAAATGCTAGGAAAATGGACGGTCTCATTTCTAATAAGTTCTCAAGCACCTCAAAAATGCAAATAGACGACATACCTTGATGCTTAGCCTCCATCTCCATCTCCATCATTTGTTCTGCATTAAATTGTTTCAGAAAGGGTAGTAGCACTTTCGCAACATAAGTAGAGTATTGAACCTTCTGATCATCTGTAATTTCCACTGCTAATGTCTCCACAGTCTGACAAAGATTATAGTGCACATTATATCCATTGCACCAGAATAAGCATCTATATAATGCCAACGCAAGAAAAGGTAGAGAAGTAAAAGAAATCAACATTAATTGGTTCATCCATTCGTAAGCATGATTTGCAGTTGCAATTCTTAAGACAAACTGGACATTCTTTAGCAAATGTTTCTTCTGACATCTTCGGGTACCTAAATATCAGAACAAAAAGGAATTCCAGCAATCAGCAACAACACACAAATATATTGGATTTGGTAAAGTTATTGAAGATAACCAGATGACTTGAACTCTATTCAAATAGTGTCGCTATTAGAGGCTTTACATGATCGACATGCATATCAAGAAACAGGGCAATGTCTACAACATAAACAACTTTTCAGTCAGAAAATATTTGACAAATCCCCTTTTTTATATTCGATGATATCTGTAATTGAAAACAATGAAATCATTAATTATGAATTCTGGAATATAAGAAAAGCGGTAACAAGTGTCCACATTACCAAGGACTGCATATCATCAGCAAATCGTAATGAGTAAGATTTAGGAATGCACTCATACTATGTTACTTCCTAATGCTTGTACTTGTAGAAGAATGAGGACATATATATAAAATACTGGGCAAATTTTTGGAGTAGGCAAGAATTTCGTACCATCTAACCATACAGGGAACACAATATCGCTTGGTTTCACATTTTGTGCACCGAACAACCCTTCCTTTATCGTTCCTCTGACACTGGTGACACATATTTGACACAATCACATTACCCTGTGAATAAAGCAACAAAATTTAAACACAAATACAGTCAATTAACGATTCAGATTACATGACCTGCAGATAAAAATTAAATTAGCTGATATGAATACAGTAAGTGGAAGTTCTAAATTCCCAAATTTCATTACGTTCGCATCTTTCCTTTGTGGACATTTCCGCTTTGGTACTTTTCCTTCTTTCACCATGGGTAATTTCTCTTCTTTAACCTTCTTGGATATAAGTGAGTATTGTGTTTCTTTGCACATCTTTGACTCCTCTGCTTTCTCTCCATCTTCGTCTTTGGACCTCTTTTTCCTTCTCTTCTTTTCTTCGTTTCCATTTTTCTCTTCAACCTGAAATTGATCTCCCCCAGTTCCACCATCCTCGTCAGTTTTAGCTTTGTTGTTCTTCTTAGAACCTTTTCTTCTCTTTCTTTCCCTGGGAACCTCATCCTCGCCGACTGCTACTGGATTATTGATTTCTTCCCAGAGTTCCCCGATCTTCTCCTTTGCCTTTTGACATGATCTCCAGACCTTCAAATCTCCTTCACCAGAATCGACATTTTCTTTATCATTATCTCCATTGGTTTCTTCCTCATGCAAATATAATATTTTTTCTTCTTCATTTTCCCCTTCAGGATTATTTTCATCGGGAACTAAAACCCCATTTTCTTTCATTCCCCTTGTCTTGGGCTTCTTTTCCTCTGCGCTTCCATTTTCCGCCGCCAGGAAACCAATTCCTTTACCTTCCTCTTCCGTATCTTTAACCATACCAGCTTCACTCTCGTCATTATTGCTTCTCTTTCCTTGACCCCTCTTCAAAACTTCCAATCTTGTAGTACTATAGATAATTTCTTGGATTTCTACTTGATTTTCAGTATCCATTAGCTTTTCTTGAACCTCCTTGATTTTAACTTCTTGTCCTTCACCTTCACCGTTAACTCTTTTCTCCACCATCTTCTTCCAGGAGTAACAAAGAGTTGATATCGGGGGGCGACAGAAGAGAATAACTCTTATATGTATATCTCCACCTAGTGAAAATAACCACCGCTTAGTGGTCTCTCGAAGATATTTGAAACGTTGGTGAAGGGTAAATTATTCTAGGTATTCTCTTCTCTTTATTCCTGCCTGCTGAGGTATGAGTGGTAAACTGAAATTTTGAAGAATGTTTGAAATATCCCGCCATAGTTGATCTACTGTATATAGATGAAAACCCGGGAAATTTGATCACTGGCAGTGCTGTACAGATAAGACCTATCGAGATTTGAGACGAGAGAAGTGTTGTGTATACAAATTATGCCACTGTTTGGTTAACATTATGGTCTCGTTTGAGAATGATTTTTCACCTCCAAAAATTTAATTTTTTGATCGTTATTTCACTATTTTAATCGTAATTTTTGACTTCTCTTCTCACAGATAGCCCCCACTCTTCTCCTAACGATCAAAAAATCAATTCTCAAAATTCCTAAAGCTCCATTAACTTCTTGTAATGTATCGTATAATAGTAAATTAATGGGAAATATATGGTTAAAAAAAATTTTTAATTTATATGTAATATTATTTTTATGAAAAATATGTGATTAAAAATGAGTACCGTAAAAAAAAAAAAAATGGGGCTCAAATAGGAGCTATTTAAGAAGAAGAAGTTTTGAATAGTATTTTAGGATAATATATGGTTAAAAAGTAAAGAAAAAATTTTAAATTTATGTGTAAAGTATTTTATTGTGTAAATGTGTTTATAGAAAAAATGAATTTCAAAAGAGTTATATTACATGAATCCACATGATAATTTCTTTTTGGGCATTGAACCAAAAAATAAAAAGAGCAATCATATTATACCCCTACTTGTTTTCCATTTTTTTCCATTAAAATGAAAAATATGATCGTTATCCATTATATCAAGCTATCATATTTGAATTTCTATCTCTTGTGTGATGTCTGTAACGACTATATTTTTTATTCTCATTTTTACATAAATGGGAAACATATGTACTATTTCCCTGTACAAACAACTTCTTCCTTGAGACTAGAGAATCTCAATTGCACGAATGTTAGCATATGGTTAGCTACTTTTTATAAATTGTTTGAAAGTAATTTTTTATATGTACATTTTGAATAATTTATAAGTATTATTCATTTAGTCATTATTTGATTTAGATAAAAATTAGATTTTTTTATAAATTTTAATAAAAGTTGATGGAATATGTGGTTGAAAAATTTTAACTCTAATGAAACATGTGATTAAATTTTTATCAAATCTTTTAGTTAAATCAAACGGGGATCTGCTCATCATTCATTTTTATGAATTCATAATTTAAAAGTTTATACACTTCTCAAACATGATTAAAGTACAAGAATTTGTAAAGATGAATATGGGGAGACAAAAAATAATAATTAAGATAATCACACGAATATTAGTTGTCGTATGATCCTTTTACTAAAATAGAACTGCATTATGTATCAAGTCACTAATTGCAATATATATGCCACGTAATGCAACTGTTTCAAATAGCATTATTCATAATGAAACACTACTAAAAACTGCAAGAAGCTCAAATGACAAAATTTTCGTGGAACAGTACATTGTGATTGATAAAACAATATTTTAATTTCTTTTTCATAATGTTAACTTTAGAACATTGTACAATTCAACTTACTCAACAGACCATTATTGCATGCAAACTACACATCCGAATAAATTGGCGTCGCAATCGATTAAATCCCTCAAAATCAAGGTCTCAGTTTCCAATCCCCTTTTTCATTTGTCTTTCCCACCATCTCTTTTGGCCCTTTTCAGTTTCGAGATGGCCAAGCTTCTTGAACGTCGTTTCTGCCTCCCATAACCGAATTTTGAAGTCTTTTTTCCATGCTGTGAACCTAAGCTTAAGTTTCCGAAGCTCTACACCAGGATGCAACTTGACCTGATCTGTCGCAACTCTAGCCCGATCACCATCATCATCATACGCGCCTTCAAATTGTTCAATTACATGATTGGTTGAATTATTTATGATATGTGGCCCTGATTCATCGTTACTTGGCAAATCCAATGAGTTCACCATACTCTTTCCATGGTAAACTCCAGTTCTTGTGGTTGTGCCATCAGCATTCTGATTTTGATGTCTTGAGGTAGTATCACACTGTCCGAATTTCCCGATAATGATTTCATCTGTGGGATTTTTCTTTGCTGCAGCTAAACATGTCTGCATAAAATCAACCAAGTTACTGGAAATAAAATATTGAAACCACCTAAAATCATTTTTTTAACTACGTAAATATGTTTGGCACCAAGTCCTCGAGAGAACAATGAACAAGATTTTAACATCTTTTCTCCCTACAATCCGTCCTGCCAAGTCGAGGCCAGTCTATCAGAAATGTCATAATATCTTGCGTAGGGGAGTCAAGGCAAGCTAAAGATGGAGATGCAGCTCTAGAACTCACTTGTATATAAGTCAATTGGTCTTGCCAGGTTTTCTCCAAAGATTTCATTCTCTCCTCATATTCTTGCCATTTTCCCTCCATTTTCTGAAGTCGCATCTTCAAAGAAGAATTTTCATTGTTCTTTTTCCGCACTTTTGCCTCCATCCTCAAAGCTTGCTTTTGAAGATCAACAAGAACAAAATGCTGAACCAGGACGAGATCCTATCAACAAAATTCATTGCGCCTTTGTTTAAACACTAAAAAGGGGGAAAAGTAGCTTTTTTCTTCATCAATTATGTATTTGAAGTCTACAACACCTATTTCCAACACTAATGAGGCATAGTCAAATATGCTAGAAATTTTATCATATATACCTTCTCGTCTATGTCTTTAGGCAGGTTTCTGACATCTTTCTCGTTCTCAATTTTTAGTTTTTGCTCGTGTTCTATGTGGTTGAAATGATTTCGGGACAACAAACCTCGAATTCCTGCAAAATACAGGACATACGTTGATATGCGTAACAAAGATGTGGAAAATATTTTTGCATTCAACATTCTAATTTACCAGATTGCAAGCATACAACTGCTGCAAGTCTCTCTTTTAGTTCTCTATACGCATACCACTCTCTAATGTGTTTCTGTATTACGACAATTGCCGTCAGCCTCGTAATCCGGTACCAGTGTTCCCTTCTTGAATTTTCACCGCGGACAACTGCTAAAAGCGTAAAGCTAAGATGGAGTTACCACAAATAAGTATCACTACATGGTCCTACATTGTTAGGGATTGTACTCTAATCCATTCTTACGAGAGCAATAATAAACACGAGGAAAATCAGAATAAAAAAAGAAAACACACGGATTTATAACGATTCAGCCTCATCTGCCACTATGCGTTTTCACGTTAATGACTGAAAAAGCCTCCGAATAAGATTCTCTATTGCAGGTGGAATATTAGGTTGACTAGCCGTCAATAAATTTCTGACAGGTAAGTCCGCTCTGGATTATATATTGAAGCATTTCTGACCAAAAACTAATACAATCACAACTTCGTACACAATTTTCTTATTTTTATATCTTTCTTCATAAAATCATTTAGTCTTGCTCATAAAGAAGAGGGTGGGGTCCTCACATAATCATTAGCATATTAGAGATAACATGGGATTACATGATTGCAGTGCAATTACTCCTCTTCTAAGCTTGCTGTAGTAGCATCTTATTTGATGGCCTCTATAGCATTTCTGAATTTTCAATATCCCTTTTTCTGCTGTTTCCTTTGAATTCTCCAGTACCCCAATCTGTAATCTCCAATTTTTAGCATCAGAAGAACATTGAATTCGCCCCCAAAATAATAATAATAATATCAACAACAATAAGGGAAAAAAAAAGATCAACTTGACAAATAGTCGAACTGCTCCTCTCCCAATTTTCATCCATGGTGCCGTCAGACTTGAAATCAAGAACTTTATTGTGTGGGAAAACTTATTTAAATTATGTCTTACCGATATATTTCAATTCAACATGAAACCAGGGAGACTAAAACTTTCTAATTTAACAGTTGATTCAAGAATCGTAAAACGGAAAATCAAGAAAATAGTTAGAATTTAGCTAGAAATTGTTTCACCTTACCCGAATACCATCGCTGTCTGCTAAATCTGGTTCATGAATTGACTCAAGAAATTTGAAACTTTCAATCTTATACCCACAATTCTCTTCACAACCACTCTTATAGAAATTAAATGGCAAGTTCTTTCTTGCCCGAGGTAGCCGGGCCCTAGAAACCGGACGAACCGGTAATGCCGGCGGTGCATCCTTGGGCTGATCCTCTATCTGCTGGATTTGCACCAGCATCAACTCCAGTGAACTAAGAGTAGTCGACATGGAATTACGTACTTATCATTAGACCGAGTGGTGTAAATTTACAGATGACCGAAACAAAAAATGTTCGATGCAATTAATGTATGTACAAGAACAGGTACTGGTATATAAAGGTGGGTTCAAGGGTGGGTTTTTGGCTTACTTGAGGCTCCCGAAACCTGTTGTAGAGCTTTCATTGGATTTAGAAAGATTAGACTGCAATTTGCATGTGTCTACTGTCAACACAGCTTTGCTTTTGCTTTGTCTGAATCTCAAATTTCAGGTGGGTCGGTCATGTTAAGTTAGTGATGACAAGATATTGAAAGGGGAATTGGAGTATTTATTGAGCCCAATTAGGACAGAGGAAGATGAGAGTAACGATACTGCCATAAAAAGCATCAAGAATACCCCCAAAACGAGAAAGTAGTAATTTATATGGGAAAGACTAAAGAGTATGTCCACAATCGTACTTGAATTTTGCTACTCAAACAGGCTTCATCCTATTTGGAGGTTAGGAGATGCAAAATGGGTGGTTGATAGAGACTAGTCTCAACATAGGCCTTTTTTTTCTTTTTTTTGTCGAGTAAGATCATATCAACCTATCACACGATACGATCTTAGCTTGATGCCCAGCTATTGAAGTAGTTATTTTATTAATTGTATTGGATACAGGACCGTTGATCAAACTAGATTTGGACACTCGGACTTAACATGGCTCACATTCAAAGTAAAGTAAGTTCAATGTTGAACCGTCTTGAGCTTAGTGATTCAACCTAATTCGACATGATTGAACATATTAATTATGCTTTCAATTGTATTACAATGGTTATTTAACATATGATTTTTTAAAGGTATTTTTAAACGATTTTTATTTCACAAACCTTCTTTAAAGGAGAAATTGGCGAATCTCCAAATTGATTCTAACATCTTTTTAACTGTAACTACTGCTAGAATCGGAATGCTATAATGAAAATCACATTAGTCCATTGAATCATATATATTAAAGATAGCATGGAGTCGGTTGATTAAGTAGATCCTCATAATCTACAAATTATGGAGATCTCAAGCAATAAGTAGATCCTCATAATCTACAAATTTGTGCTTCTCGATGAGAAGGTGCGTGGCAAATGATTATTGGCTATAATACCCAATTATATATAAATATGTTACTTATTTCTTATATTTAACTCTTATCTCTCAAGGGCTCGTTCGTCAAGCCTTTTAAATACTCAAAAATTGTTTCTAGAAATTTAAACCCACTTTCACACGTGTATGAATAATTTTCTTTTTAGATAAAAGTTAGATACGAGATGTAGAAGCAAAAATAAAAACATGCTAAATAAACTCTTATAGGACTAAAATTATCATTCTTTTCTTTTTATTAATGCTATCACACATGATTCATTTACCTTACCAAATATATTATTAACTTATAAAACGTTTCATTGACATTTTGTTAGGTAGAAAGTGTAATTTGAAGGCTATATAATTTTTAACAGTCCAAAAGTGTTGTTGTGGGCGGGGGAGAATTTTGTTTCTTGCAAAAAACTAGAAATTGAAAAAGGAAAAGGTAATTAAGAAAGGATGAAAAGTGATTAATTCATGGAAAGTTGTCCCCTTAAAATGGTCTCCAAAACTGCAAAGAGAATGATTTTTGACCATAGAGTCGTTATTGAGAGACATGTTGTCACGTGGAATGACATTCATTGGGTTTTACCAATGTCAAGCTATACTGCCCACACTTTTATTATTCCAGTTACCAAATAATATTCTATCATTGAAAACGATAATAGAACATTAAATAACAATCGCATGACTTTGCACGTAACAGTAAACATGATCTAGTTGAATTGAAGAAATGTTAATAATAATCTTTAATCTATATAGGATAAGATTCAAGTGTCTGAGTGTCTGGCTGTGTGCCGGTTGAAGTAGTAGTAGGCGGAGAAATTTTTAGTTAGGGGCACAATCAAACTCTGTACAAATCGAATACTTTATTTTTTATTTTTGAATGATTTATATTTTATCCTAGAAAAAATGCAGATTGACATTTAAATAATATTTATTTATTAATATTTTGCTCATCATTTTCATCAATTTGATTTCGAACAGACATTTTATTAATATTTTGCTTGTCACAAAAAAATCCATATTTGTTTAAAAATTTATAGTGTAGTTAATACAAACAATCAATTCAAATAATCGAAACAAAAATCATATAACCATTATTCAATCAAATTAATACAATTCGTTAAATATAAATTAAATTGGATATAATTAGTTCGGACACATTCTATGTACACAAATACGATAGGAGAAAATGCAAATTTATGTTCTAATTAATTGACAAGTGAAAAATTGTAGTAGATGTAAAAATTTATAGAAAAATTATAAACAAATTTTAGAAAATTAGAAGGCTTTGTGTTCTGGCAAAAATTGTGAGGGACAGAGTAAGAGAGGAGAAAAAAAAAAAATTAAAATCTATTGTAATTTTGCCCCTTTTGGTAGGGGTTAAAATCACATTTTTAGTAAATTTTGATGAAAGTTAATAAGTTAAGGATTTCATGAAATATGTTATTAAAAATAATTACTAACTTTAATTTAGATTAAAATTTAGATTTCAATCGATACCAAACAAGACTTATCAAAAATAAAACAAAATAATTCAAAAGTTGCGACCGGGGTCACATGATCCCCTAGGACAGGTCCGCCCCTGGGTTGAGAATGAGCAAATACCATTCATGTATGATTCATGTTAGATCTGATCAATTGTCCATACCAATGTAGCGTCGAATAATTGAAATTTCGCCCACCTGTTGACAGCCTTGTCGCTCGAGCGATAGGCGAGCGACAAAGTTAGGCGATTTTCCAACCAATTTTGCTCTATTTTTTTCCAAATTTGGACCGCAATTTTTCATTCGTCCAAAATTGATTTTGAGATTTCAAATACACCACGATAATCTACTTGATTAGCAGAATAAGATATTCTATCTACAGTTGTAATTTGACTATCGAATTAAGTCCGAATATTTGGCCGAAATTAACACGAAAATCACTTTTTCACTTTTATATTTTTAACACAATTTTCTCAGTTTAAATCCAATTTCCAACACTACGGTGAAATTATACTAGAGCACGTGGAGGCTACGAAGCCCCTGAGTATTTTAGTTTCCTTTTTATCTTGATTGGTTTTGAAGCTTCACGAATAAAAGTTGATACGGCACTTCTTAGTTTTTTGACTCTTCCACCTCCCTAGTCTGGCAAATATTAATCTTTGCGTTTGCTCCCAACAGAAAGTAAAAGTTACACTTGAGTATGTCACCATGAAGGCCTTGTGCGTCGTAAACCCAACTCCAGCATAAATTTCAATGCTTCCGGGGCTTGAGGGTACGAGTAATTTTCGTCAAGGTTTTGGCCATGCACTAACAGCACATATGTTCTTAATTATAAAACCCAACCACAAAAACTCTTCCTCGCTGATAATTCTCCACCCCTCTCTGACCAATGCATCACACTCACAATGATAAAAAATTCATACATGCACACTTATAGTGTCTTTCTAATGCATGAAGCATTGGAAAAAAAGGGTCAAAATCAATCCGCAAATATTCATTATATAATATCTTTGGTGTAAATTACCCGGCAAGAGTAGGACGTTTCTGATCAGGTCGACCTTCCTGGCTATTACTCGGATCCAAACTCTAGCCATCATACTATTTAATCTTTCCATATACTGCTAGGGAAACTTGTCCAGGGACCAAGATAATGAATTTCACTCAAAAAATAATGCGACTTTACTATAAAACAAGAACAGAGAGTACATGAGTTTCAAATAGGAGTTTTAAAGTATTTCAAAATGTCTCTATCTCTCAATAACGAACTCTATCTTTCTCAAATCTTCGCTGTGCTAAGTTGTTTTTGCAGTTTAAAACTTTTGTGATTTCTATTCTAATGGTGAATTCGTGGAAAATTTTGTAACGTGTAGAAAATTTAACGGCTTGGATGGCGTGCCTCCAGCTGCATATGGGGTATACTCACTGTCAAGATCATGCAAAGCGCATTAGATTTGACTTTGTGCAGTTGATAGTCAAAACTCGGGGCATGTTTGGTATTGATTTTGAGAATCAATTTTTTGACGGCTAGAGAAAAGTGGGTCCTATCTATAAGTAAAAAAGTCAAAAATGACAACTGATTATGTTAAGTAACAGTCAAAAAATTCTTTT